TTCATCTGTCCTGGATTTAACGTTTAGATTCTCAATGGTTTGTGGTCGCAGTATACTTTAAATGATTTCCAATTAGCCAGAAGTGCCAGTATTTAATGGCTTCTTTTATCGCTAAGCATTCCAGATATATGCTTTTTTTTTGCGTTTTTGGAGTTCGGTTTAATTTTTCGAAAAATAAGCCACTGGCTTCTCTTCACCCTTATCTTTAGTTTGTTTTAAAACTGCTCAATTCCTTGTAATGATGCGTCTGTGTAGATTTTTATTGGACGTTTGTGATCAAATATTTCTAATATTGGTTTAGAGTATAATAGGTTTTTGACTTTATCAAATGATTTTTTGCATTCTTCTGACCACTTAAATTCTTGGTTTTTTCTTAGTAACTTGTACAGCGGGTCTAGTATTATTGTTCTATTCGGAATGTACTTATGGTAGAAGTTTATTTTTCCTAAAAACTGTCTAATATTTTGTTTTGTTTTTGGAGTAGGAAAGTTCTTGATTGATATCAAATTATCATTTAATGGGCTGACTGTGTTGTTTGTAATTATGTGTCCTAGATATTTTACTGATTCTGAGGCGAATTTACATTTTATGAATTTTAGTCTAAAGCCTTCTTTTGATAATGCTTCCAATACTAGTGTTAAATGTTTAATGTGTTCAGCAAAATTTTTAGAGAATATGAGTATATCGTCTATAAAACTTACCGCGAATTTTGTTAGGTTGTGCTTTCTTAAAATATTACTTATTATCCTTTGGAATATTGCCGGCGAGGTTTTTAGGCCGAAAGGGAGGCACGTCCATTGGTAGTGTCCATTTTGTGTTATAAATCCGGTTTTCTTCCTGTCTTCAATTCTTAGTGGAATGGACCAAAATGCGGAATTTATATCTAATGTTGAAAACTTGGTGCAGTTTCTCGTTTGTATTATTAGGTCATCGATCAGAGGAAACGGTTGGGCTTGTGGTACTACAATTTTGTTTAGTCTCTGAGTCTATGCATAACCTTGATTTTTTGTTTTCCTCTCTCTTGAATGCGAGGGTCACAGGGGCCGCAAATGGACTGTATGAATCCTCTATCAGCTGTTCTGTAAAGTTTTGAAATTTGCTCCTCTATTTCTTTCTTGTCTTCAATGCTACATTTGTATGGTCTTTTGCTGCAGTATTTGTCGACCAATTGGTCGATGTGCTTCGTAACCTTTCACCGAACCTACGTCGTATTTGTCCTTTGCGAATATTGATCTGTAGTTATGTATTAATATTTCTAATTCGTCTCTTTGCTGAGAGCTTAGATGATCATCTATTTTATTTCACAATCTATTTCATTTATATGCTCGTTAAAATTTAGTAAGTTTGCATCAATATTGTCTTCTTCTTTTTCTAAAGTTCTTTTTCCTTTTGTAAATTTGATATAGCTTGTGTGATTTTCAAGTCTTCATTTTGTACTAGTTTGAACTGTTCTATTATGTCTAGTCCTATTAGAAAGTCATAACTAAAGTTTTCTTCGTCTATCACGTGTACATACATTTCTTTTTCAATTTCGAAAATTTTGATTTTTATAGGTATTATTCCTTTTGTTTTTTTCACACCATTAATTGTTTGTAATTCAGTATTGCTATGGTTTTTTTTCTCATTCTTTAATTTCGTTATTTTTGAATTAATTAAAGAGACATTTGAACCAGAGTCGTATATCCCCTTTATTTTCAATGTGTCATTGAGTACTAATTCGACTTTAATTAATGGTGTGCTTATTCGTTTTTTTGTTGCGATTCGCTAATCAGCTCTGCCTCTATTACGGAATTGTTTACCTGTGTGTTTGGATGTTTTCTTTCGTTGTTCTTCTCTTTTGATTTGAACCAACATGTTTCTTCCAAATGATACCGATCTCCTTTATTTAATTGCTTACAAATTTTGCATGGTTGTTTCAAATTTGTTTTTTCTTTGTATCTGAAACTTGTATCTTTCTCCTTTTTGAGGTTATTTCTTTTTATCAAATATTCATGTTTATTTAATTCGTTGAACAAGTCTTCGGTTTCCTTTAAACTTTCTCTTTCAATTTTGTGTAATATGTAATTTGGTAGGCCCGCTGCGATTAGATCGATTAGGGTTCCCATATCTATTGATTTTCTTATCTCTAACAAGAGTCTTTCCTTTTTTACGGCATAATCTAACAAGGAACCTTCAATGTATTTAAATGATAGTGCATAGGTAATTGGGTTCCATCCCTTGTTTACATAAGTTTCACAAAATCTGCTTTTCCATGTATTCCAGTCAGCGTTAATTGTAATTTTTAACATCATGGAACTATACCAATCCAGGCTGTTCTTGTCTAATAAATGTCTGAGTGTTTCAATTTTTTCTTTGTCCTCTGTGATGCCAAATCGTTCACATTCTTCTTCAAAGGTATCAATCCACTGATTCGCATTAGCATTCTTAGTTGTATATTTTTCAATGGTAAATTTTTCCGAAATTTTCTTCAGATTTTGATGTTTGTTAGAATCTTTTTCGACCAGTTTCCTTAATATTTGTTTCAGAGTTTCATCCGCAGTCGTTTCTGTCGTATCTGTTTTCGTGTCTGTAATTTCTTCTAAAAAGTAATCAGAAAATTGCATGTTCCCCGATTCGTCTATATATGTATCACGTAGGCCTTCTGACATTTCAATCCATACGTTTCTTTTTTGATGTCTTTTCCTTATTGTATTTTTCACTTTTGCAAATGTCTTTGTTTTGCATAACTCTGTGTGTAATGAGGTTTGTTGTAATTCGTTTGGTATTTCAAACGTTCTGCCTTCAGTAGTCGTTATCGAGGTTATGCACAAGACATTTGATTTTCCGTCTGCGGCTGGTTTTGCCGTGAATTCGAATCGGAGCTTATCCATGATAATGAGTTTTAACCCTTATTGTAAAGTAAAATTGTCGTTTTATAATGGTTTTGTATCTTTAGGGAGAATAACCATCAAGTCAACCACGTGTTGCTCTGTAAATAGAGTTTATTCTATAGCTTATATTATATTTACAACTTAATTATACTATGATTCGTTCTTCCCCCTTACCTGTAAATAGAGAAACGACAATTAAGGTTTCTACTTCAATGGTCACTTCCCTCTTTATCACTCTCTATTATCTATCAATCACTTCTAATATCAATCTGCAATTTCAATCTGTCGTGACAAAGCCTTTTGAGAAAGAATTCCCTAATCTCTCTTTATATGCTCAGTTGGGTCCCGATAATCCGTCTTACCGACGCTCCTAAAGCGCGGTAAGACCGAAATTAAAGAAATACATTTTCTTTATATATATATTTTTTACAGTATTAGAAGAATATATATCAAAACTAATTTAAGCAGTATACATAATAACAAATTGAATAAAATCATTGGATGCGGATCATTAACGGACGGTGTTTATAAATTAGAAGTACACATTGTTAATTTTGTAGATGATTATTACGAAATGGATATCCGAAAAAGTGACAAAATAGAAATTATTGGAATGATGAGCAATACAGGTATACAATATTACATAAATCAAAATATATTAATTTTTTTAAATTATATATATAAACCAATACAAACTAAGAAATAAAATTTTCTCTCTCACAAAACCATACACCTGCCCATATGCCCATCATTTCACATACACGCATGTACGTACATCTGCATCTTCATGTACATATAAACACATACATATCCAAATTCATACCCACATACATATCCACACATTCCACACATATGAACACACTCTTGTACACATGCACCCACGCGCGCACATTTATAAAACAACATGCTTGTACACTCATACAAATACTCACACGTTTGCGTACACACATACACATTGCATATTCACATACATGTTCATATACATGAATTCATATTCACACACACGTCCACACATGCGTTAGCATACACGCACACACACATTCACATGAATTTATTCTTATACTCATAAAATGTTCTCTCTCTTTATTTTATAATTAATCTGATATTATACATATCACATATATTATATGTAAATACAAACTAAATATCATTGTAATGATATTTTATTACTTCAGTTAAAAGATTTAATAAAATATATAATACTATAACAAAATATTTATGTGTGTATTTCAAGAGAGAAAATTTTACGTACGTATCAATTTTCAATAAATTTTTTTTAATAATTTATTTTTTAGTTTTTATTGGTTCATGCATTAAATAAATAATATGTATATTTAAATAAATAATATACAGGGTGCCCAAATTCGCGAATTCGGAATGTACAGCGTAATTGTTCGTGCCAAAAGAAACAACTTTTTCCTCTGACAAAATTACGTCTGAGCACTACTTTTTAAATGAGAATGACTTTAATCTAACGAATGAGCGTTCTAGATTTCGCATGAGTTAAGGTACCTTTTCATGCTGACGCTGAAACGCTTGACGCTCGTTTTGTTCGTGTTCACTCTATGTAATTTTATCTATGGTTGACGCTAAAAAGTTCGTTTCTACCCAACTTTCCAGCGTTGACGGTGGTTGACAGGTCATGCTTAATTTATTAATCGAAAAATTGTTTGTTTATCATAAAATTTCATCATGCAAAGCGAAGAAAAGGAAATAATTTAATAAATATGAAGTAATACTTTGAATATATATCTGTATAATATGATAGCAGAATACACATGTGAAATGTTTTGAGGTTATACATAATTGAATTAAGAAATATTAATAATTTTAGAATTTTCTCGTGAAATGTAGCTATTGTAAACAAACCTGTTTAAATAAAAAAGCTGCCCAACATTTATGTATTCGAGAATTTGACGAATTTTTTGTTGATCCAGATACATATGAATTTTGGGCATACGATGGTAAAGTGAATAAATTAATATAAATATTTAGTTTTGAAGTTTATTATTGAATATATTAATTTATTAATATTGAATTTATTAATTTTTTCATAGGTAATAAAATTGTTTCTGAATTATCTGACGAGCATTTTGCTCAATTAGAAAATATTGCTAATAAGGAAAATGCCAGTATTAATATCAACCAAAGTATCTCCAATAAAAAAGTAAAAACATCCAAAAAAACCAAGGCTCCTCTTAATGTTGTTCAATTAAAACTTGACCAAGAAGAGCAACTGATTTTTGAAGTTATGAACAGGATACTTCTGTGGGATTTTACAATCCCATTAAAAGGAGCAAAATCATAAAAACCAAACTATGGTTAGAAGTATCTGACTCACTTAAAGGTATTTACTTAATTTTTATATAATAATTTCTTTTTATGAAAAGTCCTATGAATAGTTGAATAATTCTAATACGAATATTATTTTCAACAGGTGCTTTTACCCCAGATGGTGCTAAAAAAAAGTTTAAGGCATTAACTGACACATTTAGAAAAATCATTCGGGATGAGCAATGTCCAAGTGGTTCCGCTCGCAAAAATAATGGCAATAAATGGGCTCATTACGATTCCATGCAATTTTTGAGAGATCATTTCACTCCAAGAGAGTATGTATACATATATGTTGTACACCCATGGAATTTAATTCTGTCCCTCAAAAATTTTCAACAATCTGAAATGAGCACCTTTCTATATTAATGGTCACAGTTCGTGTACAATAAACAGCTTACGTTTGGCTGTAAGCTGTCTATCGTACATGGACGGTGAGCATTAATGTAGAAAGGTGGTCACTTGTCAGATTGTGAAAATTTCTGAAGGACAGAATTAAATTCCATGGGTGTACTACTTAATACTGTTATTATTGATTATATTTTATTCTCTATTAATCTTACATATTTATTTTATTTTCAGATCTGCAACAAATTGCGAATCTGAGGAAAATGATTCTGATGACATTAATTTATCTAGTTATGAAGTTGATAATGACAGTGTAAAAAAACAGCAGAAGGATTACACGTAAAAGGAAAAATATTGGTGATAAGGTAAAAATATTGGTTATCGTCTCAGTCGTGCCAAACGTATCATAGAAAATACTTTTGGCATATTAGCGAGCCAATGGAGAATATTTAGAAGACCAATCATTTGCAAAGTGAAAACTGCAGAAAAAATTATACAAGCTACTGTTTGCTTACATAATTGGTTAAGAAAAAAGGATGTACATAATAATCAATATGTATCTCCTGAACTAGTTGATCGGTATTCAGATGGTATATTGATCCCTGGGACATGGAACAGTCTAAGGGAAGATGGCTGGGCATTCCAAGAGATAACAAGAACAGGAACAAATTCAAGTACTCGTAATGCTATTTCCATAAGAGATGAATTTTGTGCCTATTTTAATGGTGAAGGCGCTATTTCCTGGCAGTATGACTGTGATAATTAAAATTCTGTTAAATTACTTAACTAATGATGACATTCTAAAATAATTTATCAATCATAAATCTTCAAGTTGTAACACAGGAAATATCTTATCGTAAAATCCATGTAAATTTCTTTATCTAAATACAGGTTCAATCCAGTAACGTTTTGGAGTATATGATCTCTTTTTCTTTCTTTTCATTGCTATTATTACTGATAAAGTTGCTACATGGATTATATTCCTTTTTTGTTTTTCTTTTTCAATTATATTTACATATTCCGTCATCCATTTTGTCATCATTAAAAAGTTAGAGTATATATACATATTGAATATTAACTTTTGTAAAATTATTGTAAATGTATGACTATATACTTACTTTGGAAATCATATAAATAAAACATTTTTCAATTGATTTGTGAGAAACTTTATTAACGCATTATAAACACATTTGTTAAAAATTTATATGAATAAAATATAATTAAAAAAACAAATACTTAATTTTATTAATTATTGTTAAGAAATAATGGCATTATTAATTGTTATATTCTTGAACAACATCGTAAGATAACAGCAACATTTTGTGGATTGCATCTGATTGCATTTCTTCTGGAATTTTCTTCAATTGACTGCCTATTATATTTAAACAGTAATCTATTTCTGTAAGCTCAGGGGGTGGTGGCAAAACTATGTCTCTGCTTGAACCTGAATTACTTATAGCTTCTGCTACTTTATCAATAGATGAACTTAGATCGTCCTTATCACCAATATTTTTCCTTTTACGTGTAATCCTTCTGCTGTTTTTTTACACTGTCATTATCAACTTCATAACTAGATAAATTAATGTCATCAGAATCATTTTCCTCAGATTCGCAATTTGTTGCAGATCTGAAAATAAAATAAATATGTAAGATTAATAGAGAATAAAATATAATCAATAATAACAGTATTAAGTAGTACACCCATGGAATTTAATTCTGTCCTTCAGAAATTTTCACAATCTGACAAGTGACCACCTTTCTACATTAATGCTCACCGTCCATGTACGATAGACAGCTTACAGCCAAACGTAAGCTGTTTATTGTACACGAACTGTGACCATTAATATAGAAAGGTGCTCATTTCAGATTGTTGAAAATTTTTGAGGGACAGAATTAAATTCCATGGGTGTACAACATATATGTATACATACTCTCTTGGAGTGAAATGATCTCTCAAAAATTGCATGGAATCGTAATGAGCCCATTTATTGCCATTATTTTTGCGAGCGGAACCACTTGGACATTGCTCATCCCGAATAATTTTTCTAAATGTGTCAGTTAATGCCTTAAACTTTTTTTTAGCACCATCTGGGGTAAAAGCACCTGTTGAAAATAATATTCGTATTAGAATTATTCAACTATTCATAGGACTTTTCATAAAAAGAAATTATTATATAAAAATTAAGTAAATACCTTTAAGTGAGTCAGATACTTCTAACCATAGTTTGGTTTTTATGATTTTGCTCCTTTTAATGGGATTGTAAAATCCCACAGAAGTATCCTGTTCATAACTTCAAAAATCAGTTGCTCTTCTTGGTCAAGTTTTAATTGAACAACATTAAGAGGAGCCTTGGTTTTTTTGGATGTTTTTACTTTTTTATTGGAGATACTTTGGTTGATATTAATACTGGCATTTTCCTTATTAGCAATATTTTCTAATTGAGCAAAATGCTCGTCAGATAATTCAGAAACAATTTTATTACCTATGAAAAAATTAATAAATTCAATATTAATAAATTAATATATTCAATAATAAACTTCAAAACTAAAATAAATGATAATCCTTAACAGTCGCCAGTAATAAATATGAAAATCTCTCCTCCAATTTTAAAGTCGACCAGACTGGCAATAATTTATTTAAAAAATTAGTTAAATTACAACGTTTCGGCTGTCATTGCAGCCCTTTTCAAGTAATCTATGAACAATTATATACATATAAATATACTCTTAATGCGCTTAATCATACAAATAATTATAAATTTACAAAAATATATATGTTTACGTACCAGATTAATACAATAAATCAAATTTACAGCAAACCCCCGACAAAATTAACCATTGTTTTGTTGAACAATGTATAACTGACAGAAGTGAGCACGAAAAAATAGATGTTGACTGTTAGCAGAAAACTTAGTCACTAACGCGTTGAGAAAATAGAAAACCAGAGTACTGTGTCTTTCGCAATTTTTTAAAACGTCAATACAAAGTCAAATAAATAAATAAATAAATAAATAAATATGTAACATATGACAATATAATATATTAAATAGCTTCAAGAACGCGATCATAAATCCCACTGAAATTCTCCGTATCTTTTTGTAAATTAATGCTCTTTCTTTGGTTTTTTATATAGAACATTTCTGCTATTTCTCTTTTTCTTGTTTGTTTTTCTTGATGCAGAATCACAGGAGAATCCCAACGGAACTCATGATCGTTGCAAGTCCGATGCAAACTAACAACTGAGTGTGATGTCGTGTCTTTTTTGATGTTATTTTTATGTTCCTTAATACGTGTTTCTAAATGTCGCTTTGTTTGTCCAATATATGTAGAGTCACAGTTCGCGCATTCGATCTTATAAACGACATCGGTTCTTTTTAAGTTGTCAATACTATCTTTTCCTCTTTTTATCAATGTGTCTAATTTTTTAGGAACGGTATATAATACACCGATTCCATTTTTGTTTATGCAACGAGTAATATTTTCGCTCAAACCTCTAATATACGGCAACGCTATAGCATTTCGTGTATCAAATTTATCTCGATTAGACGCACCAAAATTACCGCCAAATTTAATCGCCCTAAGTCTCCTGTTAATAATTTTGTTTATGACTGTTGACGGGTAACAATTGTTACGAAGAATTCGTTTGACTAAGATGATGTTTTTCTCGTGAAACATAGGGTCCGCGAGTAAAATAGCCCTGTCCACGAGGCTTGTGATCACACTAATTTTATAACGCATCGGATGGTTCGAAAGAAAATTTATATAACGGCCTGAAAACGTAGGCTTACGGAACCAGTCAGTCGTCAATTTGCCATTAACTCGTATAACGTTTGTGTTTAAAAAACTTAAGGAACAATTGTTCTCCAATTCAAACGTAAACCTTAGTCGAGTGTGAAAGCTATTAAAAATCGTAAGCATATCCTCCACTTTACATTTCGGAATAATTGAAAAAATGTCATCAACATATCTGAAATAACAATAGGGCTCAAAATCCAATTGACGCAAACAATATGATTCCAAATCGTCCATAACCATATCAGACAAAATTGGAGACAAAGGAGACCCCATAGGCGAACCGAAAACCTGCTCGTAAAATTTTCCATCAAAAACAAAACTAGTCGAGCGCATAACCGTGTCAATAGCATGTAAAAACTGTGCCATGTTAAATGAAGTAAATTGTGAGATATCATCCCAACGATTTTCTATTGCTGCTTTTATTAATTCCCACGGTGTGTTAGTAAAAAGCGAAGTCACATCCAACGAAATCATGACATGATCGTCATCAATGTTTTTATCCTTAATAATTTCAACAAAGGACCAACTATCCTTAATGTGAGATCGAGGTTTATTGACTGCATTTTGCAAAATCTCACTTAAATAAGATGCAATGTAATAAACCGGACTTCCTAACGTTGAAATTATGATACGAAGAGGGTAACCTACTTTATGGATCTTAGGTAAACCATAAGCACGAGGCAAATTGCCATTAGTACATCTCAATTGTTTGTAAACCGAATCATCTATGAGTCCATTATCCAACCAAGATTTTAATAAGGTCGTGATCTTTGCGTTGAGAGCGTTTAATGGATTTTTATTAAGTGATTTATAGGTGGAAACATCTTTCAGTAAACAATTCATTTTACCCACATAGTCAGTCCGATTCATCAATACTGTGACCTGGCCCTTATCTGCTTTTGTTACGAAAATGTTACTATTTGATTTCAAAAATTTTGAACTATAAGCATATCTATTCAAAATGTAACTATCAATATGACTCACATGCTTTTGTTTACTTAAAAATTTGTGTACTGAGCTCGCTACTGAAAATCTCACATTGTCGATGTTATCCTTAGGAAACTTTCTATAATTTGCTTCTATGTTTTTTATGTTTTCCAAAACCGAGATTTTCCTATCATTTTTATTATTTCTAAAAATGGGCACGCCGAACTTGTCGCCCAAACTCAAAAAATTCATAACTGAATCCGGAACGCGATAATTACTAATGTTAACAATCCATTTGCTGTAATCTATTTTTGTCAATGGATTTCGAACCCCATAATACTTCCGACAAATGTAAATTTTACGAGCAGGTTTTCGGTTCGCCTATGGGGTCTCCTTTGTCTCCAATTTTGTCTGATATGGTTATGGACGATTTGGAATCATATTGTTTGCGTCAATTGGATTTTGAGCCCTATTGTTATTTCAGATATGTTGATGACATTTTTTCAATTATTCCGAAATGTAAAGTGGAGGATATGCTTACGATTTTTAATAGCTTTCACACTCGACTAAGGTTTACGTTTGAATTGGAGAACA